TGCTGAAGAAGCGGAGCAGCCCGGCGGCGGCGGCGGCCGAGCAGCACGTCTTCAAGCGGCCCGCCCCGCGCGCCTCCCTCCTCGGCCTCGACCTCCTCGCCGCCCAGAAGCGCCGCGAGAAGGAGCGCCAGGCCGGAGGAGGAGGCGGAGGGAAGCGCTACAGGGACTCGGCCGACGGCAAGGACGGCCCCGCCGCCGCCGCCCAAGAGCAGCCGCAGCCGCCGCAGCCCCCGCCAACGGCGGAGGGGGACGAGGGCGGGGGGGACGGCCAGGCCGCCTCCGGGCGCAGCAGCAGCAGCAGCAGCAGCCACAAGGACAGGTGCTCCGGGCCGCCCGGGAGGGGTCGCGGGTAGGGGGTGGGAGAGGGGCGCCCTTCTCCGGGCCGCTCCGGCCGCGCGCGGATCATCCCCAAGGCCCCCGTTGCCAACCTCCGGGAGGGATCTGGTCTCTCGGGATCTGAGCCGGCCTCCAGGCGGCCTAGATCGGTTCTGGTAGAGGAAGTGGCTGCCTTTGGAGGTGGATTCCGCGGCCCCTACACCACGCTGGGCCCCTGCTTCTTGTGCAGACTCCTCCCTCGCTGGGTACTGCGCCCAGGAGCTTCCTGGCAGCCTCTCCACTCTTGTCTGCTGCATCCTGTTGTGGCTTCCGCTCAGAGACGACCTGGCTCAGTGGCCTTTCCTCGGAGGAGAGAACGGATCTCCAAGCCCCTGCCTCTTTTTGGCCTGGGGGGACCATGGGAAGGGGTGGTTTCGGGCCTGGCAGAGCTTCAGGTTGAAAGCGTCTGCACTGTGCGGGGCCCTGCAGCTTCCAGTACTTGCGCTGATCTTCTCTTCTCTTCTCTTGTGCTCCCCTCCTTAGGCACTATCGCTCAGCCCGGGTGGAGACTCCTTCCCACACAGGGGGTGTCAGCGAGGAGTTCTGGGAGCGCAGCAGACAGCGGGAACGGGAACGCCGTGAGCAAGGCGTCTACGCCTCTTCCAAGGAGGAGAAAGAGCGCAGAAGGGATCACGGCCGAGAGCGGGACTATGACCGCAAGCGGGACAGAGGTAATTTCTTTTCCCGAACAGCCCCCACCCTGTCCTCTCTGAGGACGCCGGTGACTGATCAGAGGCTGTCTCCACAGAAGAGCGGGACAGAAGCCGGCGGAGGAGCAGCAGCCGGTCTGAGAGGGATGGTTCCTCGGAGTGGAGCAGCTCTCGGAAAAATGAACCAGAGAGTCCTCGGCACCGACCTAAAGGTACTTTCTTTTCCCTTGCCTTTTACCACCTGTGGGTGGAGATCCTCAGCTCCAAAGTGGGCTCTGTGAGGGGATGAGGCACCTGTGCCTGCACGCAGGGAGCCCCAGGGGCTGGTATGGCAAAAGGCCCACAGGCAGCCTGTCTCCCTCTACATCCAGATGCAGCTACGCCTTCCCGCTCCAGTTGGGAAGAGGAGGATAGTGGCTACAGCGGTTCCCAGCGCTCCCATTGGGAGTCTCCCTCCCCCACACCCTCCAGTCGGGATTCTGAGCGAAGTCACAGGGGATCAGCCACACGTGACAGCGACAGGCGTGACCGGTAGGGAGTTTTGGGGGGCAGGGGAGTCTGCTGGGGAGGGGGTGTGTGCAACTGTTCCTGGGAAGGACCAAAGTGCGGCGCTGCATAAGGCAGTGGGGCTGGCGATGGGGAAGGACAACGTTTCAGTAGTTGTCGCTGGTCATGCCTTTTGAAGCTGATTTTTCTTGTGGTTTGACTTTGGCAGGTCTATTAGAAGTAAGTACCCAGAGGAAACCCCGTTGCCAACTCCGTCCTACAAATACAACGACTGGGCTGACAATCAACGTTCGTTGGGTCCACCGCCCTGGCTCTCCAGGGGCAGAGGTGAGAGCCAGCTGGGAAGAGGTGGGTGCGTGTGTGCTGTTCTGTGTGGACTGGGGTCAGAGCAGGCCTTTGCCAACGCTGTCTCTTCCCAGGGAGGCGTGAAGAGGGAGACGACAGCATTGCCTTTGAAACGGAAGAGGAGCGGCAGCAGTGGGAAGATGACCAGCGGGTGAGTGCTGCTGAGAATGCGCTCCAAGGGGGCCGTGTGCTCTGGGCATCTGGGTCTCCCCCCCCCTTCCCCTGGCTCTCTGAAGCTTGATTCTAAAGGGAACTTGTGTTTTATTTGCAACCAAGGCAGTATGCAGCAGAAATAAGAAAAGAGCACAATAGTCATAGCTAAAAAATGGTAGTTCAAAACTGGAAGAAGTGCAGAAGAGGACAGCCCAAATCACACAAAGGGGTTGGAGTGTCTTTTGTAAGAAGCTATGGCTATTGGGGACCTTTCAGTTTAGAAAAGGGGTGATGGGGGGGGACATG